ATGCTTTCAAAAAGGGAGGCACAAAGAGAACATCTTCTTAGAGCTGAATGTTGCCAAAAAGACAATGTGAACCTTGGATTCCCTTTCCTTTGGGGGCTTTTCTTATACAGTGAATGTGAAATGGCCATTTTCCCTGTCAGCGTAATGAGGAAGTAGAAATATTGCCTCTCCTTCCTCCCCCGCTGCTTCTGCTGTACAAGAGCTTCCTCACAGGTACACGTGGGCCAGCAGCTTTTAATGGAACTGTGGCTAAATCCTCATGGAGAGGAAAGCGATTTCTGTGAGATTCGCTGAGTTGTGAGGCTAATACAGTTATGATCCAATAAACACACTGATTAGGGTCATTTGTGTTCCCTCCCCCCCTTCCCTCCTGCTGTGCCTCCACAGGCCTGGTTCAGGCTGCTGGGAAGGAGCTTCGAGACAGCTAAGCCCGGAGCCTCCCAGCCAGCCCCACTTGGGGACACCCTAGGACGCAGCAGCAGACTGGTCAGGCCAGCGAGAGATTCAGGATCCAACCCCTACCCTGCCACTAGATCATTCTCTTTATCTGTTGGTCGTCTTCCTCCCCTGTATGCCAAAAGTGGAGACAAATGGGCTGAACTTGGGATCAGAAGTTCCCAAGTTCAAGTCCGAGCCCTGGCCTTTTACTAGCCATGCAACCCTGGACCGGGTATCCTATCCATTCATTGACTCTGGACAAAGCTTTGTGCTACTTACCTTTGGTCTCCAGTTTGCAACCTTAGCGGCTGATTTGGGGAATTCAGAGAAAAATACAAATAAGAAGCTTCGACAGAGCATGGAACAAGGGCAATGGTAACTTCATGTCAAGCTTCCTTCTGGTTGACTTTCTGATTCTTTGAAAATATTTGCTGTTACTGGGCATAAAAGGGGTACCAGGGGGCGCCTGGGTGGCTCAGTTGGTTAAATGTCCAACTTTGGCTCAGGCCATGATCTCACGGTTCATGAGTTTGAGACTGGTGTCGGGCTCTGTGCTGACAGCTCGAAGCCTGGAGCCTGCTTTGAATTCTGTGTCTCCCTCTCTCTGGCCCTCCCCTGCTTGCGCTGTCTCTCTCAAAAATGAATATTCACTAAAAAAAGAAAATTAAAAAAAAATGGTACAAGGATTACTTGTTAAATGAGTGAATTCAACAGTAAAGCTGAATATTAGAGGGAACTAGCTCTTTTTAATGAGGCATGCTATAGAACCGGGCCCGGTGGTCACAAGGACTCAGCCAATCTTACCATGCACAGTGGGTTTCTCTTCCATCTAGTCCAGTAGACAGGAAAGAGGGTTGGTCGGCACGTACCAACAGATAGACTTAGTGCCAGGCTGACATCTCAATTCTGGCCTCTTGCAGTCTGAATAGTTGCTGGTTTACCACATCCAACGGGTGGCAGGCCTGGCTTAGTAAAATCGCGAAAGGCATGGGTAGGCCTTTCCTTCCGAAGCAAGGCTAAACTGTATTCACAGCGGCCTCTAGTGGCGAACTTCCAAAACAGCATGCTAAATGGAAACTTGGCAACCGAAGGTATCTTCTCAGAATGACCTAGATTCAGAAATTTGGGGCTAACAGGGGGCTACTTCTAATCTTCACTTGATGAATAAGGAAACCAACTTCCGGAGGTAAAGGGCTTCGCCAAAGGTTACACAAAAGCTTCATATATCTCTGTCCACAAACTTTGCCCCCAACTGGCTACCTGTGGTTTCAGATGCAGTTAGGGATCATGAATTACCCATTTGGAAGAAGAACAAAGGAGGACCCAATTTCTAAAATCAGACCAAGCCAACCTTCAAGTGAGACCCTAACATGTTCTCTTCCCCTGCACTTTGCTTCTCTCTTATCTGCAAAAGAATGTTGCTGGAAAATCCCTATCCTGGTATTTACCTAGAGTAAGTAACCTACTCCTATAGGCAACAAGGCTCTGAGGCCACAAAGCACTTTGTAGGCAGTAAACTCCACCACTCAAACAAATGTGCTTTTCAATGTTTCCTCCTCCACACGTTGCAAGAATGTGGAGCCAGAAGGGGCCACAGTGACGTCTCAGATTGGCTCGAGGATCTGGGGGTAGGAATCATTTCCCTTATGCGGGGAAAGCTATTTTGACATATTCTGGAGACACAATCCAAAAATAAATCAAGCTGAGGACTTCCAGAGGGCTTAGTGGAAAGGTTTTGCTTCCATACCAGCTAAAATCTGGGTTTCGAGATGCGGTGAAGCTATTTCAGCGAATGGATCTTAATCTTTTCCTGACAGAGAACAATTCTAAATTTGATTCATTTAGCAATAACTTCAAAGAATTGCATAAGGTGCTGAGGGGGCTCCCAGCGGGGAATAAGACAAAACCTTTTCTCTGAGGCTAGCCCAGTGGGAGGGAGAAGCTGTACAAGATAACACAGGGATGAAGAGGTAGGAGAGGGGTGTGGTGGCTTTGAGGGCCACTGGTAATAACTGTAGCTGTTTTCTAAATGCTGGTGCTTTTTCAGATGACCTGTTCTAGCTCATTTAAATCTTCACAACCCTATGAGGCCAGGGCTATTATCCTTATTTTTATGGTGGAGGAAACTAAGGCACAGAGAACTTAGGGAACTTGTCCTTCGCACCACTGCAAAATGGCGAAGCTGGGATCTGAACAGCAGCCTGGTTTCAGAGCCCTTTTTCTTCAATGTCGTATTTGCTGATGACCTCTCCCCTGCATTTTCTGTGATGTCTACAACCTATACCATATCTTACCCACGCTGGTGCCCACACGGGGACTCAGTGCCACACACCATGGTCTGATGTCCAGTGTAGTAAAGTGGGAATAAAAGGCAGAAGGGCACTGTTTCTAAAAGCTTAATCTCAGCAGCCAAAGCCAGAAGCAGTTAAAGCTCATCCTGTGCTTTGAATCTCTCCACTCTTCCAAGGCCACCACTGGTCGGGGAGGCAGGTCAGGTTATGGTGCGGACTGTCCCATGCTTAGGAAAATCTCCCCCGCCCCCACTGTCAGGTTGGACAAACGTGACCTCTGGGATGTCACTACTCCAAGTGTGATGTCTGGACCAGCAGTCACCATCTCCTGGGAGCTGGACAGAAATACAGACTCTCTGGACAGATGCTGAATCCCGACTTGCTTTCTAGCAGGCTCCCGGTTATTCTTGCGTATGGTAAAGCATGCCAAGCGCACTGTACTCAGGCCCTTCTTTCCTTCTCTGAGCAGTGATGGTACATTTCCACCACTCCCACGACCTGGGTGAAAACGGGCATTCTCAGGATTATAATTCGGGGAGGTAAGTGGATGGATGTCTTATTCTTTGCTCTTAGAGGTGGGCCCAATGATGTCTGCCCAGTTCAGGCCAAAAGAAGTTTCTACTTCCCTAGAGTCTAGAACAGTACTTTGCCCAACACCATCTCTGAAAAGTTAATAAAGTCATTTACATAGTTTGTTGTTGGGTTTTGCTTTTTTGTTGTCGAGAGGAAAGAAAGAGAAGCATGGAGAAAGAGGCTGAAGGTGGGGAAGGCTTGAGGAATACAACTTTTTGGTCATTCCCTAAAGTAACCCATCATTTCCAAAATTTATGGAATGACAAAGGAAGAAGATTAAAGCTACAATCCCCTCTTCAATCAAGGAGCTGCCAATTTAAGGAAGCCACACTACATACCACCTCTGGGTCCGTAACAACATAAAGGGGGGTTTCCCACAAGTTCAAGGGATGCTGTAGGTCTCTCAGCACATCCACCTGGCTAATCTACACAATTCCCCCTCACTCAGAAATGCCAGTGGATATCACTTAAATTCTTTCTTAGATACTTACTGCCTTTTTAAAGTCCGCCCTGCTCTTGAATAGAAGTCCACTGGAGACCCACAAACCTAAAATGTGAAATCTTGAAGATGAGCCCTACAATCCTACTTGAGATGGTTCATAGGTTAAAATGGCAGTTAAAACTTCACACAGTCTTTAAAATCAGAGCCCAGAAGCAATTTCAACCATCAGTGGCACTTTATTTTGGAAGTTTCTATGTATTACATAGACGGCAACTTCCTTTCTGTTACCACCCCCCATTAAAAAAAATCAGAAAGACTGAAAAAACATATGAAATCCCTTATCCAGTTTCTCTAGTCCTAGGTTAAAAAAAACTTAAGTGGTGCCTCTCCTTCATGACAATACTGCTCTTTAAGGAGAAGTCATAGTCCACCCTTATGCTCACTACAGAGTTCGACTCCTTCCTGGGGAGAAAATGGTCAGTGTTTCGGTTTGCTTTGAATAAATTCCTTTCTCAATTATTACACATTATCATTCCCCACTTGACACCTTCTTAGAAACTTGATTGTTGGATGCATTTTTCATTTGGCAAAAGTCCAACGTGGCTTTGCGTGGGATGTCTAAGTGTCAGAAGCAGCAGTGTTGATGTTCTGGTTTCGAGAGGGAAAATATATATAGAGATGCATACATTCCCTGGAAGAACAAATGTAGGAGACTGAAATAGGGTGTGCATGGAGTTAAGAAGGCTGATAGACACTACTTGGTTTTGAATTCTGTGGCTGTCAGCCACTGAAGACTGCGGTGTAGGCCAGAATATAAATCTCTGCAGGAAGAAGTTTGGTTAGGCACCACGAAATGACAGAGCCGGCTGCATTTTGTTCCAAGTGTATCAGAACAGACACAACCAAGGAGGGGCTCATTTGCAATGGGCAGTTCCCCGTGAATGACTACTTATGAGCATTTCCGTGAATGCTCTGTCAACAGAGGCACCGGGGGAAGAGAAAAGAAGTATCCTATTAAAATATACTTCCGGGGCGCCTGGGTGGCTCAGTGGTTGAGCGTCCAAATCTTGATTTTGGCTCAGGTCACAATCCCGGGTTCATTGTATCGAGCCCTACGTTGGGCTCTGCGCTGAGTGTGGACCTTGCCTGGGATTCTCTCTTTCCCTCTGCCCCTCTCCCGCACTTGTGAGCGTGCTCTCTCTCTCTCTCTCTAAAATAAAATTTAGAAAAATTATTTAAATAAAAGAAAATAAAAATATACTTCCATCTCTAACTCACCCAAGACCCTAGGTCTCCTTAGCTCTGTGATTTGCAAGGCCAAAATGAAGTTTAAGTGTGTGTCATTCTAGGTCATCTGGAAGCTGGTTCACCGAGGCCATCTCAGAGGACCTGAGTGTGCCCAAGAAAGCAGCAAGCCTACCCAGAAGGGTATGCCTTAATGATCTTCACATCATCCACAGGGCGGTCCTGGGAGTTCGTTTCCACCATTCCTACTCGATTCACCATTCCTATACCCTGGCACACACGGCCGAAAATGGTGTGTTTGCCATCAAGCCACTGGGTAGGGGCTAGGGTCACAAAAAATTGGCTGCCGTTGGTGTCTGGCCCTGCATTGGCCATTGCGAGAATTCCGGCCCCTGGTGGGAAAAAGGAAGAAAGAGTATGAATAACCCCCAAAGCTCCAGCCTGGAGCGTGTCACACCATCCCAGACTTTGTTCTGGCCTCTGTCCTCAACCACGTGACCCAAACAATCTTGCCCTCAGGGCAGGCTCTCCACCTTTGCACCAAAGGCCATCACTGCACTACCCCAACAACCTCATCTTCCTGGTGTTCACCTACTCCCCAGCTTCTCTATCCATGATGATCCCCACCAACTGCTGGGCCGTGTTCCTGATTCCGCTCCAAATCCCAGCAAGGTCTCCTCCTTCTCTGAGGAAAGCAGACTGTAGTTATAGTGCAGAACTACAGACACATAGTATATAAATATAACTCCCAGTTTATGACAGCAACATTCAACAACTAGAGGCTAGAACACTCAGGCCAGCACTTTGAATTGCTCAGGACCCTGAGAGAGGCGTCATCTTCTCTAATCCACCACGGCTCTTTGTGGCGCCGTAGCTGGGCAGCGGCATGGCACCACGCCACGGTGTCAGGCATGCGCCCTGGATCACAGCCAAGGGCAAGCTTTTAAAGTCCTCTCCCTCTTCCTACCCAGTCCGGCCAGACTCTTTACTTACCCGTGAATTTCAAGTCTGGATGAAGTTCATCTTCAAACTGCTTACCATAGATAGATGCACCACCTCGACCTGCCAGATTAGAAGACAAGAAGCCAGTCAGCTAGTCCCACGCTCTACCTCACGGCAAGAATTATGGTTCAGGGTCAAAAGATTCTTCAGAGTATACAAAAGGAAAGAGCAGTGAGCACACCTGGCCCCTGCTAAGTATATTGCAACTACGTAGCCCAACAGCAGGATCAAGCACAGACATAGCACATTTGGATCACTGGTTTCATTCAGGTAGGAGGTTTCTTTTCAAAATAACACCAAGAGTGTTTTTTCCTGGTTATTAAAGTAATACGTGTTCACTGTCAAATATGCAGAAAGCATAGAACATTAACAATAGGACATTAAAGTCCCCTATAATCTATCTATCTACAGTTTAACTACCATTTATAATTTGATGGATTAAGAGATTTCTTAATTTTTAACTTTTTTATGAGTATTTTAGACAGGAGCGCCCCAAGCCTGAACCCGGTGCCCATCACAGACATCGCTGATCAACCAACATTCCTCCCTGCTGAGCTTCGATGGGCCTCTGTGGCCTACCAACTCAGAACTGTAGGCAGCCATGTTTAATGGACCGGAGATGGCACAAGACTTAAAGAGCTACGCGCCGTCCTGAACCTAGATGAAGGAATAACATTCATTTAAGTCAAAGATACCCAGCTTAAGGAAAACAGAGTGGAAAGTGGCAACGTGGCAGAAAGGAATATCACAGCAGGCAGAGTCCGTGGAGAGGAGAGGTCGTGCATCACTAAAGAGATTATGAAGAGACGTGAGATTAGGAACGCTTTGCTAGCAACATCACCACCTTCCGCCATTTATATTATGTCCACGAGAGTGTGGCGCTGGCACCCAGGTTCTGTTCTTAAAGCAAAATGATACAATAAATATGGTGTTCCCAAAGGAAAAAAAAAATGTCCAAATAGGAGGCAACTCGCCTAATCAACTATTTAGCAAAAAAATATGACTTGCTGAATTACTCTGGTTTCTCCAAGTTGACCAACGAAGACAGAACAGCCTGGAACAAAGTGAACATTGGGTTCATCAGCTTACTCTGCTTGCCTGGCAGCCAGAAAACAGCCCAGACACTGGGAGCTCACCTCCTCTTACAGCCTGCTATGAAAGTAGGATGTTAATGCACCATGTTCCTCCCAGGCCCCAGGGGCCAGCTAAGGTGTTTCCATGGTGAAAATCCCTTGCAGTACTTAGAATGTTCCACCACAGAGAGCCTGTCATAGCCCCCGGTGCTGGAAGAAAACACTTCTCACGCAAAGAAGAATGGGGGTGAATCCTAACAGACGCAGGGAAACCTCCCACCCGGCCCAGGCTACCTATGCTTCTGGAAAAGTACCCAAATACCAAACTTTATAAAAATTTGTTCCAAAAATTCCAACCTGTCAGTTTACTTCTCAAGAGCAATCATGTAACCAATATATTATCTCAGACTACAGAGTCAAGGTTCCTACCTGAGGCTGGGGGCAGAGGGGGTGGTTAGTGCTAGGGCTGACTATGAAAGAGAGGGCCATGGGCGCAAACTGTGGTCAAGCCCTAAATCCAGGGCTTGAGTGAGCAAACGGAGGGCGAAGTTCAGTAGCGGGCTGTTCGTCGCAGGCTGGGCCTTGGAAGTGGGATCCCTGCAAGCCGGGGGCTTCCAGGATGAAACCTCAGGGCCCCTGCCCTCTAGGAACCGAAAGCCGTCACATAAATGGCACCAAGAACAAGACGGTTAAGGGATGGGCCAGTCAAGAGTCACAGATGAAGCCCGGGGGTTAAGTCATTAGAAGGAGAGGAGAGGAAAGAGCACGGGGCCCCCTCTGTACTCACCAGGCATAGTCTGACCAGTTGCAACTAGTGTGGGGCTCTACAGCACCATTTACACACAATATGTTATCTTTTCATAATCTAATTCAACCCAGTAGGGTTTGCAACAAAATGTCAGAAAGACAAAGAATTCCAATCAAAACATTCCTTTGGGCATGTGAATTGGGGAGAGACGGTAGGGGGACAGCCACGATTAAAGAGTTTTCCAGTGCAGAGCAGGGTACCCAGATGCCAACAATCACTTATAAAGCTGACAATTTGGAAGCTTTGCAGTCAAAACTTTGCTGTGTGCCGAGTCTAGTACAGATACAATGGCGACAGGCACTGATCTGTTTTGTAAACTCTGTATTCTGGACGTTCTTTTACTCTTCTGTCCCTTCTCTTCAACATTTATTCCAGGTATTTAATATCTCAGATGTACAAAAGAGACAAGGAATAATGAGACAAACAACTGCACCCTCGCTCAGGAAGAGTGTGGTCAATCCAGTCAAAGACACCATGCACACACTCCCCGCCCTCCGCACCCACCTCCCCGCCAGCTAACAACTACTTCAAAGAATCACGTTTTCCTCTCAGGTAGCCATTGTGCTGGCCAGGAGTCTGTCCCTTCCGTGCTTTTTCCTTTTTACTACCTAAGTATGCACCCTAAAAAAATGCATTGCTGCTGTGCATATTTTTCGGTTTATATAAATGGTATTATACTCTATGTATTCTTCTGCAATTAGCTTTTCTTTGTTCGCCATATTTATCCATTTTGTTCCATGCTGCTCTCTGTAGTATTCGTTCCAACCGTGCGATTGTAACACCAATCTTACCTTTCCTCATGTCGATGGGTGTCTGGGATCCTTCTCCTGTTTCTGCTGTTGTAAACCATGCTGCAGTAATCATTCTTACGCCTCTCTCAGACAAGTGCGGGAGCTCTTAGGGACAACACCTCATGGGCAGGCAGGGTCACGGTTTGAGTATTTCCCCATTACCAGATTTCTTCCAACAGCTTGCCAGAAGTGGCCCCAATGTGCCCTCCCACCCACAGTGCTCACTCTTACTGCTCTAGGCGCTTTAGCCAGACTTCCTAACATTCCTCAGTCTGAGAGGTGTCTGATCTCTTGGGCTTTAATCTGCATTTCCTTGAAGGTGTGCATAACGCCACGTTTACTGGCTATTTAGCTTTCCTCCTCTGTGAACAGCCACTTATCTAAGTGGTTTGACATTCATATACATAAAAATATGTATATAATTCATATATATAACATATATAATTCATGTATATATATATAATTTGTATATTACTAGGATTAATATTTTGGATACTAATCCTTGGTCAATTAATGCTTTTGCAAATACTTTCTTCCGGTGGATGAAATTTTATCACTCCTTTTAATGGGGTCTTCTGCTGCACAGAATTTTTTGCAGTTGAAATCCCTCAATCTTCTTCTTCATGATCTTCTGCTTTAAAAAAATATTTCCTTCTCCCCAAGACCCCTCCGATGTCTCTTCTTGCTCACTGCCTGGCAGAAAACTCCCACGATGAACTGGAGCGGCATCTAAGACACGGTGGTTTCAAAGATGACCATACTTGGTGCTACTTACCCCATCGCTCCCATGCCACAGCCCCTTTTGGGACCAGTCCCAAAGCAGTACAGGTGAGCCAGGGACCCATGAAGAGGCCTACGTGAAAGCTCTGCCCGGGGCACCTGACACCAGGAGGCGACTGACCAAACCCATCAAAACCTCTTTTCTGGCAAGAGAGCATCTAACAGCAGGTTAGCTGTTCTCTGAGCATTTCTAACTCTTTCTCTAACCCCTTCTCCATGGCCTACTTCAACCTCAGGAACAAGAGAGGCAGGTACTGACCAGTGCCTTTTGCAGCTAGGGGTAGTCAGATGATCTGGTTCGGACTTACTGATACAAACAGAAGCCTGCTGAGTAGAGTTTCTGGGAAAGCTAGAACTTTCCTGATAAAAAGGGAAAAACATGCTCCTTTGTCTTTCACCCATAGCTCTTTCCCCATCTCTCTTTTTTGAAAGCAGAGGTGATGTCAGGAGCAGCAGCAGCCATATTGCAGCCATAAGACAAGTCTGAGATCCAAGGCCAACACACTAACAATGATGGAATGGAAAGATATAGTAAGCTTGGGTCCCTGACAACTCTGTTGGGCAGCTGAACCAAGGCCTGCAACTGCTTACCTTCAGACATTTTCTTATGCGAGAAAAACAAAAGCTCTCTTTGTTTAAGCCGGTGCAGTTGAGTTTTCTGTTATGTGCAGCCAAAAGCATTCCAAATTGATACAATCGCTGTTAGTAACAGAGTCTTTGGAAGAGGGAACTAACAGGTGGAGCTGCTGCTGTTGGATTACCAGGGCAAATGCCAGATACCAGATCTAACATGGGAAAGAATGCTACATCTCTCCAAGAAGCTTTGAGGGTCTTAGGAGTCCTGTCTTTCTCACTTGCCTCTGGGGCCAGAGAGATCCAGATTTCCATTCCAACTCCACCACCAACTGGCCGTGTAGCCTTAAGGAAGATATTTACCCTCTCAAAGCCTCAGTTTCCTTGTCTGAAAAATGGAATAGTAGAAGTACTTCTGTCGTACTTCTGTCTCGTAGGACTGTTACAGGAACTAAGTAAGATCGTGCACAGAAACCACGCAGTGTAAAGCATGGAGCAAACACTGTATTATCAGCGATGATGAGCTATCTTTTTTTTTTTTTTTAATGTTTTTATTTATTTTGAGACACAGAGAGAGAGAGCACGAGCAGGGGAGGGGCAGAGAGAGAGGGAGACATAGAATCAGAAGCAGGCTCCAGGCTCTGAGCTGTCAGCACAGAGCCTGATGCGGGGCTCGAACTCACAGACTGTGAGATTGTGACCTGAGCCAAAGCTGGATGCTTAACTGACTGAGCCACCCAGGTGCCCCTGAGCTATCTTTAACGGAGATAAGCTGGGCATTTTCCTGTGAGAGGCAACTGTAGGTAGTGATTAATACTTCACCTTAGGAGTCAGCCTGCATGGGTTTTTGCAGTTCCTCAATCGGCAAACCTCCACCACTCCCTCACTGCTCCTTGCTCTGAGTGTAACTCTGCTTATTTCAATGACAAAAAAGGCAGAGAACTTTCACGTGCTCTCACCACCAAATCCACTCCCCTTCCCACATCTCCACCCATTTCCCTTCCTTCTTCCCTCATTAATAAACCGTTCTTGTGACTATC